CCCCTTTTCTTCCTATTTCACATGACCTATTATACATTTAGTCCTTATTTACACTTTCAGTTTCTCACACCAGAGAAACTATTCAGTATTTACACATAACACGGGTAAATCTTTAGAATAATTTTTCAACAAAAGAGGGAAATATGGCAATAGAGAGGAATGTGATGTCTAGTTTCATTTTTGCTTCTCAGTATGGGAAAAATAGCAGTACATATATGTGTGCTGATGAGAATGATGTCAGTAAAGAGGGAAAAATAATGTGGAGGAGAGATGGGGCAACACAGGAGAGAACTCCTTGGGCAAACCACAAGGGATGGAGTTGCTGCCTAAGTGGAGAAATAGGGGTAGATACCATATTTCCTCCCAAATAAAACCCAACCAGAAAATAAGCCCTAGCATGATTTTTCAGGATACTCATAAACCCTACCCCAAAATAAGCCCCAGTCAAGATCGTCAGTCAGATGGATCCATTATGTTCATTGCAACACATGATAGACATATTGAATTATACAATAATAATATTAATATATAATTAAATATAAATAATATTAGTGACATTAACACTTAAAATAAATTATAACGTAAATTATAATTACATATTTGTAAATACCTGAGTGCCTTCAGAGGAAAGGTAAATGCCTATATAAACAGATGAACTTGAGACTTATTGCTGAATAATCAGAGCATGGACACAACCCAAGAATAACATGCACACTTGATAACAAGCAGATATGGTCATGTCTAATATGAATTTTCATAATTTAATATGTCGTGTGTTTTAACAATGCACTATGAGCAGGCTACATGAACAAGAAATGCCATTTAAGGAGAGCTCTATTGTTGGACATGAAAGATTGGGACCAACGGTTTTTCAGGAAGTGGAATCCCAAGAAATTCAGGCCAGAATTTTTTTTTTTTGCATTTAAATTTTATTTTATTGGTACATTTTAGGTATACAATATAATGACATTCATCATTGGAAATTTGCAGCTTTACATAATCTCTCTTGGTTCAGAATTTAAGGTTTAGAGAGTTAACAACAATGTTGCAGAAGAAGATGACATGACTGTGATTGAATAAATGTATATTTTTGTACATGAATGAATGAATAAATGAAGATTATTATACATGAATAAATGTAGATTGTTGTACATGAAAAAATAAAATATCCCCTGAAAATAAGCCCTATGGTGTGTTTTGGAGCAAAAATTAATATAAGCCTAGATCTTATTTTCAGGGAAATATAGTAATCTACAGGGATGTTGTACAGGTGGACTCTGTAGTGTCTAAAAGCAAGTAGATTTGATTTGCTGGGAGAGGTTCCTTTTTGGAGTAGCTCACTTTTTAGAACAATATTGATACACATATCTCCAAGTAAGTTAATATTTTAATAGCCAACAATTTACATGATGAAGAGAAGAGAGAAGGGAAAGAGGGTTTCATTATTTTATTATTTCAGAGCTCTAATCTCTCTCTCTGTCTCTGCTCTCTCTGACTCTCTGTCTTTATCTGTCTCTCTGTCTTTCTGTCTGTCTCTCTGTTTCTCCATCTCTCTCTGTGTCTCTGTCTCCTCAGGTGACTCTGATATGTTTGCAATGTTGAGGACAACTGTTTTCCCTTCCCACTTAACGTGGATGTCACACAGACCCAAGAACAAGGACTAAATGGCCTCCAAAATTTTTATTACCAAGAAAAATCCCTTAGAAGAAATTCCATTGTCATTTCAAAGCATCTCTATTAAAATTACTCTTTTTTTTTTTTCTGGTACTGGGGATCAAAATCAGGACCTTGTACTTGTGAGGCAGGCATGGTGCCACTGAGCTAAATCCCCGGCCCATATTAAGATTATTCTTATTACTCATTATGAGTTAGTTTTGTAGATTGGACTATTTCCAAATGACCAAATCAAATCAAAGCAGAATTCTAGCCTTAGGGCTCAATTTTTAAAAATGCAGATCTCTTTCTCTTTATTTGCTTATTTATTTTCATGCTCTGGATAGAACCCAGGGCCTCTGGCATACTACACATATGCTCTACCATGAGCTCTATCCCCAGCCCCACACATCTCTTAAACCTCTATTTGACTCATTGTTCATTACAGTATTGGCTGATGATATATGGGTGCTTTCTCCATTAGAACTCAAGCAAACTGTCTTCCCATGAAAGTCAATACGAATACAACATAATAATTCTGGCTTATTACTTCTGGAGGCTAGATGGAAATTAATGACCTAGGAATGGAACACACCAAAAAAGGCTACACCAGTTAATTCCCAAGCTCTCCAAAGCACGTTCCTAATACTTAAAATTTATAAGTAAATAAACGTCTTTCTTTCTTTTTTGTCTTTTCTTTCTTTCTTTCTTTCTTTCTTCCTTTCATTTTCTTGGGGGTAGTTAAGATAATTCAGTAAAACATGTTACATTTGCAACTCATAATTTATAAACCTATAGCATTCTGCTTATGGAAATGTTTTGTTCCTTCATTGATAAGAACTATCTTGTCATCTGGGGAAAAATTGTTTTTAATTTCAAATTTGAAGAAATAATGAAAGGTATAAATGTGCCAAATCAGCAGTAAAGCCAGTTTATTTTTCCCTCATTTTCTTGTGGGCAGATAAATTTGCAGCTGAGCCAATTGCTTGTCATTCTCTGGGGATTGTGACTCAGTAATATTAGACTCTCCTGTCTGCCAGGAAAAAGTGCTGCTGTGGACTATTGAGCTAGGGATCTTAGAACATCTTCCCTCAGGTGTAGAAGCTCTCTGATAGGTGAACAGCAGCTGCATACTTCAGGGCAGTGCCGCAGATTATAACTTCGTTTTGTTGTTGGGTTGGGTTTTTTTTTGGTACTGGGGATTGAACTCGGGTCCTTCCTCTTGCGAGGCACGCAGTGGAACCACTGAGCTAAATCCCAGCCCTGATTTTGGTTTTCGTTTTCTTGAGGTACTGGGATGGAACCTGGAACCTTGGGCATACCAGGCAAGTGCTCTACCACTGAGCCACACTCCCAGCCCAACAGTTTTTCATAGACTCCTAGACACTTATACGTGAAGGGAGAAGTTACCCATTTTATAACCTGAAGTCATAAAGGGTAGGTTTTCTGGGGTCTCATCATTTACATAAGCTGATACTGAAGTTGCAGAAACAAGAATTTTGAAGTCCTGGATACAGATTCCAGCTCCATGACCTCGGTAATCTTGAGCCTCTATTCCCTCACCTGTAAAGTGAGCAAAACAATCCTTCCTGGAGGATTAGTTTGAATATTAAATTTAGGCAAAATGAGCCAGCCCAGTTCCTGCCATGTGACCAGGCAAATGGCCCAATAACAGATGTTCAACTTTTCCTTTTTTCCTAGTAAGATCCAGATCCTTTATTCAGTCCTAGCTGGAATGTGCTCTCCTTCATTAGACGACTTTGTTGTTCCTGCATGCAGTGCTCCCTCTCCTCAAATTTTTTTGGTATTTGTTTATATTTTGGTTTCTATAAGAAATATGCAAAGGGTGATTGAATGATTTAATGAGGCTATACTAATAATAAATTCCTACCCTGGACAAGTGCAGTTTAGCCCCAGCCAGCCTGACCTGTTGTTTCTCTTCCTCCACAGATGCCTTTCTGACTAACCACACGGAAACTATCACGGTGGAGGAAGGCCAGACGCTCACTCTCAAGTGTGTCACTTCTCTGGAGAAGAACACCTCCCTTCAGTGGCTGGCGCCCTCGGGCTTCACCATTTTTTTAAATAAGCATCCTGGTAAGTGAATGAAAGAAAAAAAATCACCACCAGACCTCAAGCTAAGGGATTTTCCAGTTAGGCAGGCTTGGGGGTCAGAAAGTCTGCATGAATCACCCAAGGGGTGAGCTCAGCCCACCTACTCTCCACACAAATCACACCTCTGCAGGCTGTTATTTGACACATGGCTGCTTTTCTGTGGCCAGGAAGTCTGAAATGGAAACCCCACCAGAATGGTTGTTAAAGGGGGCTCAAGTTACAAAGCACATTTGCATGTCTCCAACACACCGCCCCAATCACTTTTGGACTCTCTGTGACCATGAAACACCCACAGCAAACTGACGTGGGGCCCTGTCCTTTCATGGAGCCAACTTCATCACTCCACATCTGGAGCCAGCTGCTTTGTTTTCCATCTGATCCATCCAAAGTCCCATTCCAAAGCTCTTTCCAGATGTCTCTTCTTCCCCCTGTTGGTTTTAACACAAAATCAAGGTTTTGAAGCACTAGAAATGGACGGGGTGTATGACTTTGGAAGGACAGAAGTCATTCCTGTGTTCACAAACATACAGTAAATAAGTACTAGATACCTCAGATAGATAGAAACTCATTCAACCCCTGAACATTGGACAAGATTTTACTCAACTTTCCCCTTCATAATTAGACCATTTTTTATTTCCACTTAATACTCCTGTCAAGTACTTGAAAAAGTCTCCCAAACAACACATTCCATTCTTGTAATTTAATATCCTTTGAAAACATTATTAAATATCATTGTAAGTAAAAACCCAATACATTCTTTCTTTCTTTGTTTTTTTGGGGGGGTACTGGGGATCGAACTCTGGACCTTGCGCTTGCGAGGCAGGCGGTGGCACCACTGAGCTAAATCCCTGGCCCCTCCAAAACATTCTTTTAAGCAAAATCAACTATTAAAACTAGACTCCAATCGAATCAGTGGATACTAATTGTTAAAAGTTGTAGAGAAAAAAACTTTGAGTAGAGACCATTCTGTTAAATAATGCTTTTTGCTGTTTGTTTTGATATTCTTTTGGGGGAAACCAGGAGAAGATAGAGATTTTGGGATTTCTGCAGTCAAAAGGCTTGATCCATCTCACTGATTCTCCACCTGGAATGATCTTCCCCTGTAGAGTGTATTTGGCAATGTCTGGATAGTTTGGGTTGTTGTAAATAGGGAAAGAGAGTGGTGTTTCTGGCATCTAATGGGTAAAGGACAGGCATGCTGCAAAACATTCTACAATGCACCACACAATCCCCAAGACAAGGAATTATTGATTCAAATATTAAGAGTGGAGGTGAGAACTCCAGAAGTCTAGTTAATGTACTGTCAGTGTCCCAGGACAAACCCTCATTGTTGCAGATGAGGGACAAGTTCCTTGGCCAGCTATTCAAGGTTTAACATGTGGATATTATAAATCTTAATGTTTAAAAAACCAAACAAACAAAAATTCATTTCAGGGGTCTCTAATTGCTAAGGGATCTTTGATTTCACACAATCAAGAGAACCTTTGCTATTGGCTAGAACCTTTCAGAGCTTCTTTCTCCGCCCCACCCCCCTTTTCTCTTCTCTTCTTTTCTTTTCCCATTGGTTAGGTATCTGGAAGGAGTAAGTCATAATCTTTGAGAATCTTCAAATAATAATGAGCATTTTAAAATTGAAAATAAAAAGCACTTAGCTAACACATTTATCAACAAGTGCATTTATCTTACATTCTTGACATTGAGGCAAGATGGCCTCCAATGAATCAGATTTCAAAGAGTTAAATAGTAGTGGGGCATTTTTCATTACAAAAGTCATCTAAAATCCTCTTGTAACCTGACTCTTTCTTCAGTACAACATTCTTACTTGCCTACAACCACAAACAAAGCAATTTGTTTATTTCATAAATCTCATTATAAAAATATTTCATTTCCTAAACTATTTAGAAAGGCATTTGACTGGCTACACAAGAATTTGCAAGGCAGCTCAATGGAAGACATGGCTTGTGTTCCTCTAAAGTGTGAGCAGCAAAATGATCCCTATGAATGATTAATCTGTATTCATCTGATACCTTTCCACGTAACAGCTCTATTTCTTCTTTGTACAGCTTTTAAAAACTCCAGATACCAGCTTCTTCATCATTCGGCCACTCAGCTGTCCATCAGTGTGCCCAGTGTCACCCTACAAGATGAGGGCATGTATAAGTGTTTACATTACAGTGACTCAGTGAGCACAAAGGAAGTGAAAGTGATCGTGCTAGGTAGGTACCCCAGCAAGTAAGCCCAGCACAGGATTGATTCAGCTGTGAACCAACCCAATGTGCCATTTTAAAACTTGACATTTTAGTTGTAAAATGTTACCTGTAACAAGGCATTTCCTGGGACACTTCTGCCATTTTTTATTTAAAGAAAACAGGGGAGCATTTTGAGAGGTAAATTGTAGATTAAACTGTGAATTTATGTATTCATCTTTGGCATCAACTAAATTTTCTTTCTGGGAAATTAAAGGAAAGAGAATGAATGCTTGATGAGCTCTGACTATATACCAGGCACCAAGTCAGGTTTTAGGGAACCAAAGATGAATTAGGAACAAGCCGTGCACATATGGATTCTACACAACATTTAGGAAGGCAAAACATTTGTGAAAATAAAGGAGAGCTATGTGACAACATATCCTAAGATAGGATGAATCCAGATGTAGCTGCATTGGACCATTGGCTCATTTCCTTTGCCAGAGTGGTTCCTATCTTCTGTAGGGAGGAGGCTGGGATGTACAGCATGGATGGTGCTTGTGACAGCCCCCTGATCACCTGGTAGTGCTTGCTCGGGTCTGTGGATGGGCAGTTGTGTTCAGTATGTCTTACCGTCTTTGCTTTTTTGGTTTTGGTGGCAGAACAGATCAATTAAGAATACTGCTTTTGGGGCAGGGGGATTTAGCTCAGTGGTTCTGCCACCTGCCTCACAAGCTCAAGGTCCCAAGCTCAGTCTCTGGTGCCAAAAAAAAAAAAAGAATATTGCTTTTTATTGATCTCTAACTAACATAATCTCATATATCACACAAATAGGTCTTGCAGACTTCTCCTGTTGAATTATTGTGTGATGCCTGTCCTGAAGGAAAGCCATGATGAGGAAATAACCGAGAAGGAGTGGCTCTCTGAAGGCTTTGAGAACCAATGTGATTCATCTTCTCTCTCTTTTTTTTTTTCTTCTCAGTACCGGGGATCGAACTCAGGACTTTGCATTTGCGAGGCAGGCACTGTGCCGCTGTGCTAAATCCCCTGCTAATGTGATTCATCTTAAGGGTTGTCTTTTCCCTGCCCGAGTGGCCACCAACAGTGTCATCCTTGCTCTGACTGGCTGTGTGCCTTTCTGGGCTCTTATAACACCCTGTGAATACCTCTATCATCGCACTCAACACAGACCCTTGTTTTTCTTTTGCAATGCTGGGTATGGAATCCAGAGCCTTGTGTATGCTAAGCACATATATTCCCAATGATCTATACCCCCAGCCTGTGATCTTTCAATTAACACTAGGGTTTGAGTCTACCACCAGACTATTAGCTCCTGGAACGGCCCTCTTTTCCATCTTCATGTTGCCAGAATGTGACACATTTAGTGCATGCTTGGAGCTGAAAAGTGCCTTTACAATGTCTCCATAACATAATATAGTAGGCAAGTTAAATAAATGTGGAAAATCTCAGTTCAGTGCCAAAGTGGAAGTAGGATGGGAAAGACGAGTAAGCTTGAGTATAAAGTATTTCCCAAGACAGAAACACAAAGAAAAGGACCAATGGGACCTTTTATAAGAGATACACAATTTTGACATTAGAAGAGGACAAAAGTAACTAACTGCCTTTGAGATCAGTCACAGGCTCAGGAAAGTTTATAGCTGTAAAAGCCAACTCATTGGCCAACTCCTCCATGTCACAGGTGAGGAAAAAAACCCCTGGTGTACCAAGAAGTTGAGGGATTTACCAAAGTCCTTACCACTAGCTGGTGACAGAGATAGGACTAGAATTCAGATCTCTCCCTTGCCTCATGCTCTACCAACCAATACACCCACATGTCATATTGATTGCTATTATAGAATGGTGTGTTTAAGAATTTTTAGGAAATAATCACATACTTGAGTAACAAACATTCTAACAACAGCCAAAGTAACTTTGCAAACACATAGAAGCTCTTAACATGACTGGATTTTGGGAAAAAGTCAAATGAAAAATATGGCCATTTATTAGACTATACCCTAAAGCAATTCCTACATATTTTTAGGCTCTGTACTTTGCTGATATGTGTAGATCAACTAATTAAGTGTGGGAAAAATCTATTTTATTCTAGCAACTCCTTTCAAGCCAATCCTGGAAGCTTCAGTTATCAGAAGTCTGAACGGAGAAGAACATGTTGTACTTAAATGCTCCACCAAGAGAAGCAAGCCCCCTCCACAGATAACTTGGTTCCTGGGGACCAACGTAGAGATCTATAGTAAGTGGAGAAACGGTTATTTTGTTTTCCTTAAATTTCCAAGGGATTTTTAAATGCTCTGGTGCCCTCTGGTGGCTGGAGTTGCCAAAATACAGCATGGGATAAACCAGTTCTGTTCCAGAGAAATGATCCTTATAATTAATCAGTGATTAATCAGTGTTATGCATTAATGTTGAAAGGCTGATCACTGATAATGAAAGTGTTTTTGCTTAAAACAAAGTAGAAGTGGGCCGGGATTTAGCTTAGTGGTTCCGTCACCTGCCTTGCAAGCGCAAGGACCGGAGTTCGATCCCAGGTACCAAAAAAACAAAAACAAAGTAGAAGCCTAGACTGAAATATTTATAGTGGCTTCTTAAAATTTGACAAAGTTTCTTAAAATAAGAGATGTAACATAGCTATTATCCCTGAACATAAAGTTTCTTCACAGGCATAAAATTAAAAGTTCACTTAATATAATGAATATACCAATTCTCCTAGAATTACCATAGGGTTACAACCCAACAAACTCACCGTAGGTTAAAAATATTTTAAGTAAAAAATGCATTTAGTACGCCTAACCTACCAAACATCAAAATAGCTTAATCTACCATAAATGAGCTTTTAACACTTATGTCAAAAATTGAAATTGATTATCTACTATAAAGCCTATTTTATAATAAAGTGTTAACATCTCCTGTAACTTACTGAATACTGTACTGAGAATGAATAACAATGGCTGTACACTTTCGCTCATACAAGTTGAAAAATCATTAAGTCAGAAACTGTCTGTAATTAGAACAGATAAGATCTCCCTTCCTTAATGTAGTATTGTGTCATATTGATAATCACAGGTTAAAAGTATTATGAAAGAACCTAAACTTTGAGACTTTAATTAAAGCAGGATAATGAATTTTGACATTTGGGAACTACTTATATACTAGTTTGACATTTCAACAGACATTGGCTTGTATATCTACATAATCATATGTTCTTAACAGCCCCAAGCAACCTTACACAGTTGACAAAACTGAGAGCCAAATGGAGTTCTAGAAAGAAAAGCCCTAAATAATCCAAATATGATTCTCAGGCAAGTGCCAATTCTGCTTCATCATAAGGCTTCTCTTTGAATTTGCCTTATTTACACCACCTGAATAAGCTCTGTATCTTTGTGTTTCATAGAAACATCAAACTGTCCTTGTGTAACCACTACAAGTTTTGACTTTTTTGCCAGTGGTGAAGGGTCTATAAAAACCTCTCCACTCCTGTTCACCTGCTTGACTTTGCAACTACAGTCAAAACATACAAGGGAGTTGGCTGAGGCTGGAAACCTAATACATTTGTCTTGAAGTTGAAGTATTGGTGTCTAATAGAACCATATCCATCCAATACCATTACATAGCTGTAACCTTTCATTTATATCTCTTTAAATTACTACATAGGTGGAACTCACCATAAATTTGAAACTGATGGAAAGAAGTGTAACACCACCAGCATGCTAACTGTGCACTCATTTAGCAAAAACTCAACCGTGGACTGTATCATCCGACATAAGGGCCTGCAAGGGAGAAAACTGATTGTGCCCTTCCAGTTTGAAGATTTGGGTAAGAAGAACCCATGATTATCTTCAATCATTTTAATTTACCTTAATATTGCTCTATCAAAAAAGTTAAGTGGAGTGGACAAAGTCCTTTAGAGTGAAGCTCCCCTTTTTAAAAAGACTTTTCTGAAATAACTGAAGTTTTCCCAGCTGGGAGCAGGATTGCAAGTGTTTCAGCGTTTGGAAGAACCCCATGTGGGTGTAAGGCCTAGCAGAGCACTTGGTACAAATAATGCCATGGTTTCTTTTTGATAATGACAGCTAGTATAACTTGACTGTGAATAGCTTTACTGCAGTTGTGTTTTTGGAGAAATCACATGAAACATGATGTACCCTCATACTTGACCCAAAAGGAGATATGAAGTGAAAATACCTAAACTTCCCACAGTATCAGTTTATGTTCTTATATTTTTTAAAAACTCACATACTTACATTAAAACATGATTGTACTTCAGATTTATTTTGTTATGACTATTTTGAAGATTCCCCAAAGGTCCAAGAAATAATTTAAAACCTGTAAACAGCTCTTTGAGCCAAGGGGCATTCTGTAAGTGACATGAATCATAAGGTTACAATTAGTAGAACTCTGAACTTGGGTTCTTTTATAAGGTACTTCCAGAATAGATTGCTGACTACAGGAAATCACTTTAATAAAAATTTTTAAAATGGTGGATAATGGTGCATTTACTGAAAAATCTCTTTCACTGAATGAAATAACTGACAATAGAAGAAATTTGTGAAAGGCAAGGTCTTGTTGGAGAACCTCACTAGAGAAGGCTGTCACATTGCTAGGTAGAGCTGTTGCTGGGGTTAATAGGTCCCCTCACACTGCCTTGGGCTTTCCATGCACACTTTCTCACCAATGCAGAAGCAGTTTATGGAGGAAGCTGCAATAGAAGGCTCATAACCCACAGCTGGGGCTGTACTATAATCCTTCACACACACTCCCACCCCGAGATGATTCATCCCCCAACCCCTGCCTCCACCTCCGACAGAGGAACTGGAGCACCTGACATGCAGGGGCTGAGGCCAGCCATGCAAAGGCTTCCTAAAGACATTCAGATTCCTCCGTAAAAGACCAGCACTGTTGGAGGAAAAACTATATTTTGATTTTTTAGCAATAGGTCAAGCCAGCTACAAAAATATCTTCTCCTTTAAGACCATAGTTCTATATGACTCAAAATCATATCTGTAAATATTTCTGGTCATAGGTTAAGATAGCTTTTTTTTTTTGGTACCAGGGATTGAACTTGGGACCTTGCGCTTGCAAAGCAGGCATCAGAACCCCCCGGCCCAAGATAGCTCTTATTTATGAGCTCACTATTGACTATCTAGTACCCACTGTCTGAGCGCCAGCAAGGATTCCATGAAGAGTGATGGGATCAGCTGTTGGTGGCTTCCATTTGTCTATTATCTTTTCACCTTGACAAGCTACGTGGTTGATGTGTAGATACTACAAACCTTTCTCTTCCAATCAGTTAAGAAAATGACGAGCTGGGGATGCTTTATGGCACAATCCCAAGTAAGGGTTCTGATCCTTTTCATCTCTACCCTCCCTGTGGGGTGGGAGTCGCGGAAGATGCAGCTGGTGCCAGGAGTGTGCCTAGGAAGGGACAGTGCTGGCAGTGAATGGAACAGCAGAAATAGATGAGACTCTCTTTGGAATTATTTATTGCATTTTTTAGTATTCCAAATGAATAATATTTATTTCCTATTACCTGCAGATGGGATTTTTAAAATATTGAGCAACAGTTCTCAAACTTATTGATATCAGCACCCCTCTGCACCCTAAAAACAACTGAGAACCCCTCAAATTTGCATTTGCCTGAGATATATCTGTCAAATTGTAACCATCAGAAATTGAAGCTGACACATTTTAAATATATATTTGTTCATTATTTAAAATAATCTACTATAGGTTAGTAGATATGTTTTTGTGAAAAAACATAACTATTTTGTAATACCAAAAAAATAGTGAAAAAAGTGACATCATTTTACATTCTGAAAATCTCTTTTTTGCATTCAGTTTTTTTCCAATGTGTTCTTTTGCTTGAAATATATATTATATATATATATTAAGTCAACTTCACACAAATATGTAGTTGGAAAATGGAAAAGGGTTTATATGTATGTATGTATGTGTGTATACATGTATGTATGTATGTAGTGCTGGGGATGGTATCCAGGGGCTCATGCATGCTAGGCATGTGCTCTACTACTGAGCTACCATACATCTCCAGTCCAGCAAAGTGTATTTAATAGAATTTTTTGATAATTGTGGACATTCTTCTTTGATGCTACACCAAAATTCAACAAGAGGTAGTTTTTTTTTTCTTTTCTTATTATTTTTTTCATACTGGGAATTGAACCCAGAGCCTTCACACTGAGCTACATCTCCAGCCTTTTAAAAAAATTTTACAACAGGATCTTGTAAGTCACTAAATTGCCCCTTCTGGGCTTGAACTTTCAATCCTTGTTCCTCAGCCTTCCAGAGTGCTGGGATTACAGGTGTGTACCACCATGCCTAGCAAGAGCTAGCTTTTTTAAAGGTAGGTTGATATGTAGATCCTGAAACCATAGCAATGAACTTTTCATACTCTGACATTAAAATCTATTGCACTTTGCATGGATCTTTTCAAAACATTATGGCTTGGCCATTTAGAGAATACTGAGTTATGCAGATCTTTCAAATGCTGACACATTTTAGTATCAAAATCACATTAGTTAATATCACTGATCTCATGAGAAATCTTCAGGTATTTTCAAGCTGCCATATACCAATGGTAGGTACAGATTGTCCAGAATTTTAACTTGAAATGTGATTAGTACAACTGAGGAGCTACAGTTTAATACTATTTAACTTTAATTAACTTAAATTTAAATAGACTGTGTAGTTAGTAGATATTTCACCAAATAGCAGAAGTCTATAGCATTCTGGCCAACTGGAGAGACAGATACTGTATTAATCTAGCTAGTATCCACCTAGTCAAAACATCATCCAGTCTAAATCAGTTTTTTATAGTTATTTAGCAGTTTGTTAATTAAGAGGATAAAATCAGTTTTAAATGTAAATAATTAGTTTGTAGATATATATACACCTTGTTTTGTACATAAATATAAAATTATCTGAATTTACAGTATATAAACACTATGTTAGAAGACTATGATTTTATTCTATGTGTCCCAAGAATTTCCCATATTAGGTACTTCTTATAATGTTCTTCCAATATTTCTATTTGACTAGCTTTGAAGCTCTTTTCATTGCCAATAACCCTCCTCTTTCTTCAACTTTCCTGGCGTCTTTGTGATCACAGACCTTATTTTAGCCTGTAGTCTGTCTAGTTGTCCCCTTTCATGGATGGCTTTGTTTTCCATGGTTTCAGTTAACTATTGTTCAGTAAGAAGGCTGAGCACAGTACAGGAAGCTAGAGAGACCACATTTACATAACTTTTATAACAGTACATCATTATAATTCTATTCTTAACTTGCTGTTGTTAATCTTTTACTGTGCTTAATTTATAAATTAACTTTATCATAAGTATGTGTGTATGGAAAAAAAGCACTGCATATTTGAGGTTGTGTCCACTGCAGTTTCAGGCATGCTTTGGGGTCTTGAACATCTCCCTCATGGATAAGGGGATGACTGTTATAATCTCTCTAATATTTTCTTAGTAGTTTGTCTTCCTTTCCTCAGAGCTATTTATGTATTTCTTCAGGCATTTATATATTTTTAAAAAATATTAGCATGGTATATGGATGTATGGAAATATAGTGAAACCCATTAATTTTTTAAATTAATATGAATAATTATAATAAAATGTTTTATTAATAAAATATATTTGCAAAATCATGGGAAATTTCAAAGATAAGTACTCACAGATTTTATAGATATGGCCTACCTGTTACATATTTGTAAACTGACGGGCACAGTTATTTAATATTTCTGAGATGCAGGCCAGTTCACAGGATGTTAAAATAGATCCTAACATGAACCTCTGGAAATGTCCCTAAGCATTTTGTTTATATTATAAAACAACATGTAGTAAGCATTGTGCTTAATAAATAGCCAGGGATTGTACTAAACATGTTACATGAATGAACTGATTAATGGTCACACAAAAACTTGAAGGGGTAAATGCTGTCACTGTCTCTATTTCACAGATAAGGAGAAAACAAAATGTTAGATAAATTGGACATCTTGTCCTGCTCATTGAGGAGCAAGCAAATAGCAGCACTGGGATTCAACCCAGTCTGAGGCTGACTCCAGAGTCACCTAACTGATAACAGGAAGACAGACATGTGGATGGGTGGACAGACTGGGAGATGGGAAGATAGAGGTATACAGATGGAGACAGCAAATACCCTCTGCTTACAACTGCCAAGTGCACCATCATGCAGAGTCCAGCGTGCTGCACTTTGAAGCCAGGCAGGTTAGCAGATGGGCAATCAGTGGGGTACAGATTCAAAAACCAAAGCAAGAGCCACAGAACATACAGTTCTGAGGTTTCTGTACAATCTCCACAAGCAGGTAGCAGCTAAATACATTCTGTTTACTGAACACAATGTGGGTAAAATTGCTCTCTGTAGTTGTAGAAGTTTGTTTTTCCTCTTTCCTAGTTACTGATCAGGAGACAGCTTTGGATGCTCCAGAGGAAAGCTCTCTCTCCTCTCCAGACCCTCAGCAGCCCACAAGTATTGGTAAGTATCGAAATCACCAAAACTTTAAAAGAGAAACCATGCCTGCTTGAGAAGATCCTGTTTATAATGTTAAGTTTTAAATTTTTTTAATTTTAATTTTTAATAAGACATCCATTCAGGACCCCTCTAACTGGCTCCAGCTTTGTGGTGTTCTGGAACAGGGCCACATCAGTAGAGCATGTGTAGTGGATGAGATCTAGGGTATCATAATGCCTTATCAGCTCAGTGCTGTTCTGCTTGAGATATATACATTTCCTCTGTAGCAAAGGACAAGTTTGAATTCATTTGTGAGGAAGCTCATTCTTTGTTTTCCCATTGAGAACAGAGCAAACACAAAACAAAGACTTGATATCAGTGATTCAAGAAGTAGAAGCTGTGAATTTGGTGCTATCATTAGGTAACAAAATCACCTTTGAGGGCAGGTCAGTTGCTTGGTTGTCAAGAAGCTGGACCATTGTTGATGATAGAATTAAACTATACAAAGGATTCAGAAAGCCTGGATTATAATTCCAGCTTTTTAAATACTGAGTCTACTAGATGGTTAACTTGGGGCAATGATCCTATATTTAATTTAACTGTGTATTTTATCCAGCACAGTATCTGACAATGTGCTCAGAATATGCTGAATGAATGAATGAATTTGTTTTGGTGTTTTGAGCAAGATAGCCTCATTCAGGAAGGCATAAATTCCTATGTGCTTTCTTCCTATTTCATGTAGTGTCTCTATAATAATTTTATTTGGTAGGATAAGTGCTTTCAGATCATTATCATGATCACATTTTTAAAAACATGTATCCTGAATAATATTTAAAAGTAAATGTTTAGCCTTTTTGAAAACACTGATAAATACAATATGTCCATACAATTTTTGAAAGGCAATGGAAATTGAAAATATTATGAAGTGGAACAGCCACATCACTTGCTTTAATAATCCAATATTTTAAAACGTGTTTAGAATCTGGATGTCTTTAAATTGGCTTGCACCACTCCTGAGCAACTCAATTTTCTGTTCTGTGTTTTCATATACAACACAGGATTTACAAAATGTGGTTTCTAAAATTCCTTTCAGCTTTCAATTTCTGCAATTTTATTACTTTAATAACAACCGTTTTGGGGAGAAAAATGGGAGACTTCATTCCCCTCAAGATCCACACAGTGGCGCTGTGCAATGGTTTAAAAAGACAGACATTAAAAAAAAAAAAAAAAAGGAATCAGGAAAAAAAGCAATGAATCCAAAAAAGCTTTCTCTTTTTTTTGTGGTTTGTCTTATCTAGCAAAAACATTTTGTGTCCAACTTCTAAAGGAGAAGCAGTGAGGAATCTGGATGACAACTGAAGCTCCATTTAAACATGAGTCATGTCTCCGTGCACCTTGCACAACAGGCTACAGGATCCTGTTTTAAGCTTGTCACGCCGTGCCTCGGGGGAGAATGATATCTTTGGGCACCCTAAAGACCTTTTCCCCAGTAGTCCTGACTCAGGAAGAAAGTATGAAATAATGGTTTTAATTTGGAGTTCTGGTGTTAGGGAAAAACTCAGTTTCAATGTTGCTGCTGCTGCTTCTTAGCTGCAGGACTTTAGTTAATTTTTTAAATGCTCAAAACTTCTGTTTTCTCAGAGCTGTGGTAAGAAAAAACAGACACTCACTGCCCAGTTCAAGGTCCCACACCTAGTAAGTGTCCAATAAGTGTTTGCCTTTTTAAAAATAAGGCAAGGGAAAAAAATAAATAAAAATAAGGCAAAGGGAGACTGATCATTTGCAACAACTTTTGCAAAAAATCAGTAGTTCAAAGTAAAAGAAGCCAGACACAGAAAAATAAAAGCTGCAAGTTCTCTCTCATATTCAGAAGCTGAAAATCTGATCCAAAAGTAGAAGAGAATAGAATGGTAATTATTAGAGGCTAAGAAAAGCAGGGGGAGGAAGACAGAGCAGTTGGATAATAGGTACCACAATCGAGTTAGAGGAAGAATTAGTTCAGGTGTTCCACAGCACAGGAGGAACACAGTAATTGATAATAACATATTATATGTTTTAGGAAGAACTAGAGAGAGGAGCTTAGAAGTTTCAACATAAGATGCTGAAATGATACAAGATGGAAATGATAAGAACTAATTACACTGATTTGATCATTGTACTCTGTGTGTATATCACGTTGCAATCCCCATAAATATGTACATATTACTATGTGTTAATTTAAAAGAGAAAACAAGATTTAAAAAAACTTTCCCCACTCCCCCTTCAGTCAGGGTCTCACTACGTAGTTCAAGCTGGCCTTGAACTCATTACATAGTCCATGCTGCCCTCAAATTCTTAATGTTCTTCCTGTTTCAGCCTCCTGAGTGCTAAAATTACAGGCATCTGCCACCAGGCCTCGATTCATCATTCTTTTTATTTATTTTTTTAAATTCTTTTATTTTAGGTATACAATACATTTACATTTATCATTGGGTTCTTGTACCTGTACACGATGTATCTTGGTTCTTATTTTTTTCCCCATAACCTGTGTGCCCTTCACCCCCTCCACCCTTCCATATTTACATAGATTTCATTTCCATTTTTTTCTTTTCTCATAATTTTTCCTTTCCCTTCTTTCCTTTCCCCTTCCTCTCCCACCAACCCTACACCTTTGGACTTTTTCCTATTTCAAATTGTCAATTATTCGTTTTAATCATTTTAACCCTTGTTTACACTTTCAGTTTCTCACACTAGAGAAACTATTCGGTATTTACACGTGTGTCCTATTTTTTTCACTTAAGAGTATGGCCTCAATATGCATCTATTTAGCTATAAATGTCTCTAGTTTCTCGTTCTTTATGGCTGAGTAGTACTCCATTTTATAGAAAAACCCCACATCTTTATCCAGTCTCCAGTTGATGGGCACTTGGGTCATCATTCTTTTCAAATGAGAGCCAATTCACTTGATTTCCACAGCTGCTTTGGGAAGAGTATGGTATTATATGTATGGTTACGGTATTAGTCCATTTTGTGCTGCTACAACAGAATATCACAGACTAGGTTATTCATAATGAGCAGAAATTTATTGACTTACAGCTGTGGAGGCTTCGAAGTCTAGTACTGAGGGACCATACCTCCAAAGGCCTTCTTGCTCCAGCAAAGAGAGGGCAGGAGAGAGAATGAAGGGGCAAACTCTGTCCCTAAGGAGCTCACTCTGCAGTAATGGTATCAGTCCTTTCATAAAAGTGCATCCTTCATGATCCAAACACCTCTTCCCATAGCAATTAAACATCAATCTGAGTTTTGGAGGAGACATTCAAACCATATGTTATATCTATGAACCGAAAATGTATGATAAACGCATATGTTATATCTTATTTTCTTTCACCCTAGTTTCAATAAGTACACTCAGTACACCAGAGATTAAGAAAGAAGAAAAAGAACAAACTAGTCAAGACTCTGACTTGACCAGTGGTAAGTGTCACCACTGCATTTAGAATAAACAATTGACTTTTTAACCTCGTCACTGATAAATCAAATAGCTTTTTCCAGTCCTCATATGTCTTGACCTCTTTGCCCTTTGTGACATAATGAATTAATTTTTCCTTTGGCCCTTCTAGACCAGTTGCCTCATGTGTTACTTGACCCACTTTGACTGGCTCTGTTATTTTTGCTAACCACTGCTTCTCTGTCCATCAGCTAACTCCACCACTTCCTCCTCTGATGTGTGTGTGTGTGTGTGTTTGTGTGTGTGTGTGTGCGCGTGTGTGTTGCTGAGGATAGAACCCAGGGCCTTGTGCATGGTAGGCCTTGTGCACATTCCCAGCCCTGCTGTCACTCCTTGATTGCTTGTTGGTTGGATTGAGGGACATTGGCAAAGTAATATTTTATAGGAACAAAATTCTAGGTTTAGATGGCTGGAACAGAGGTTAGGTAGAACTCTTGAAGACATTGGTGTAGGATAAGATTTTATGAACTAAACCTCAGTTGCCCGTGAACTAGCACAAAAAATCAACAACTGGGATCTCTTCTTATTAAAAAGCTTCTATACAACAAGAGAAACCACCATCAGTGTAAAGAGACAACCCACAATGTGGGAAAAAATTTTCACCTGCTTTCCTCAGACAAAGGTCTACTATCTAGAATCTATAAAGAACTTAAAAAAAATCAGACCTCCCAAATTTAAAGACCCAATCAAAAAATGGGCATCTGAAATGAACAGACATTTCTCAGACAATAAAAGTAGCAAATAAAGAAGTAGAGATAGCAAATAAATATATGAAAAAATGTTCAACATCACTGGTCATTAGAGAGATGCAAATGAAAACAACACTGAGATTTCACCTCACCCCACAAAGAATGGCTGCTATCAAGAA